GGGGGGCTATTGCTCTTTTTTGTTGTTTTTGGTTGGTCATTGGGCTTGAACTCAGGGCCTGGGCGCTCTCCCTGAGCTTTTCTGCTCAAGGCTAGTGCTTTACCACCTGAGCCTCAGCTCACAGCTGGTTGTTTGGTGGTTAATTGGAGATAAATGTCTCATTGACTTTTCTGTCTCAGCTGGCTTTGAACCATAATCCTCTGACCTCAACCTCCTAATTAGGATTACAGGTGTCAGCTCCCAGTACTGGGCCTTTGTGTGGTTTTTTTCGGTATTAATAATAGTGTTCTTATTGGGGCTGGGAAGGTGGCTCAGTGGTAGAGCGCTTGCCTTGCATGCATGAGGCCCTGGGTTCGATTCCTCAGCACCCCATAAGCAGAAAAAAGCCAGAAGTGGCGCTGTGGCTCAAGTGGTAGAGCACTAGCCTTGAGCTGAAGAGCTGAGGGACAGTGCCCAGGCCCAGAGTTCAGGCCCACGACCAGATCCAAAAAAAAAAAAAAAAATAGTGTTCTTGTTGTTGTTATAATTTTGCTGTTGTTTGTGGGGCCTGGGCGCTGTCCCTCAGCTCTTCAGCTCAAGGCCAGCGCTCTACCACTTGAGTCATAGCATCACTTCCGGCTTTTTCTGCTTATGTGGTGCTGAGGAATTGAACCCAGGGCCTCATGCATACCAGACCAGCACTCTGCCACTAAGCCACCTTTCTAGCCCACTTTTTTTGTGGTCCATACAACTTCCAGACTAATATATGCTATTTTTTTTCCCTTACTGAGGATATATGAAACTATCCCCTGGTATTCGTAGGTCAGGCCATTCGTAATTTTGACACTTAATATCAGGAGTCATATTTATCATGAGAATAAAACATTATGTGTTTTCTTTGTTGTGTAAGTTTTCCTCTTCATGACGATATCATTATAATTGGTAAGTTTGAATTATAGTTTGTTCCTCATACCAAGAGTTACACTGGCTAGAAGACCCCCAGTTCCCAGAATCACCAGGAACAGCTCCACAGGCATGGTTCCCGGATTAGCGGAGCTTTTCCTGGTCTTTATTTTATTTGGGACTGTGCCCAGCCTTGCGCATGGGGCCAGCTCGTCTAATTCACTGGCTAGGTTCTGAGCCGCTCTGCCAACCCCAGGCTGCCTGGAAGCACCAAGTACCTCTGCAGCCTGTGGGCGTGGACGGCAAGGTGAGCTGCAGACCACGCTGTGCCCAGCAGGGGGCGGGGTACCCATGCAGACAGCACGGGGAGCGGACCCTGCTTTAGTGTCCAGTGTTTCCAAGTGCTTTATAGATGAACTCCAGCTCAGACAGGCTGTGACCTGAAGTGTCTCCCTCTGGACACTCACAGCTGTGAATGGAGTCTGACTACACGTTGTCAGGTGAGACATGCAAAGACAGTTTGGGCTCTGCCTGGTGGACAAATGACCCAAGAAATTTACAGCTTATTTGGGTCTGCGGCGTGACTGGAAACATGCTTGATCTCTGTGCAGTTTCTGGTACAGATGTCTTTTCCCTGACTCTGCGTGATAAGGTTGTCCTAATCACCAGAGCCTTTTTAGTTTTTCGTTTGTTACTGTTTTATTTATTTTCATTTTGCCAGTCCTGGGACTTGAACCGTGGCCCTGGGTGCTGTCCGTGAGCTGCTTTGCTCAAGGCTAGTGTTCTTCCTCTTGAGCTACAGTTCCACTTCCAGCTTTTTGCTGGATAATTGAGGATAAGTGCTTCCTGGGCTTTCTTGCCTGGGCTGGCTTTGATCCGTGAGTCTCCGATCTCAGCCCCCTGAGTAATTGGGATTCCAGGTGTGAGCTGTGAACGCTCTGCCAATGTCAAGTTCTATACATGCCGTCCTCAGCGAATAATCAGCCAGATATTACAGGCTTTCCTACCACTGCTGGGCTGGGATGTAGCTCAGTGGCAAAACGCTTGCCTAGCAAGTGCAATGTCCTGAGTTTGATACCCAGTACCAAAAAAGAAACAAACAAACAAAAAAAAATGCAGTTAAAAAAAAAAAAAAAACCTACCACTGTGTGGCTCCCATATTGTCTTTGTCCTGGAGATGGAGCTGCCGGCACTGGTGGCTCACGCCTGTCATCCCAGCTACTCAGGAGGCTGAGATGTGAGGATGGAGGTTTGAAGCCAGGCCAAGAAGAAGGCTCTGAGATTCTTTGGGGAAAAAGATGTCAGAAGTGGAGCTGTAGTTCAAGTGATAGAGTGGCAGCCTTTTGCAAGATAAAGTTGAGAGTTGCCGGGCTCCCCTGGCTCATGCCTGTCATCTTAGCTATTCAGAAGGCTGAGATAAGGATCGTGGTTCAAAGCCAGCTTGAGCAGTAAAAAGTCCATGAGACTCTTATCTCCAATGAACCACCAGAAAACCGGAAGTGGCACTGTGGCTCAAGTGGTAGAGCGCTCGCCTTGAGCTGAAGAGCTGAGGGACAGCACCCAGGCCCAGAGTTCAGGCCCCACGACCAACAAAAAAAAAAAATGTTGAGTTGATGCCTAGGCCATGAGTTCAAGATCCAGCATGCACACACACACACACACACACACACGGCATGCACACACACACACACTTCCTCACTGAGTCAGGTTACCCTTTCTCAGCACGGGGAGGAAGGAACTCCTGCCTTCAGATCTGCTGTCTGATAAGTCTGGCCCTTGCACAAGCTGCAGGGTGTGATAAACATGTCCTGTGCAGACAGCACAGCTTGAGCGTGGCGTAATCCACGGCACCCCGCTGGGAGGAGGCCGCCCCAGCGACCACACACACGGCTCTGTCACGGGCCGGGGCAGGGACGCCGCCATGGCCGGGGCTTCCTGGTGGGCATTACAGCTACTGGAGGAAATCCACGCAGACCCCCGCCGCCCTGCATCCCTCACGCCGCCGCCCCCTCCCCCTCTCCTCTGGTGAGGGACTGTGACAGCCCCTAACTCACCCCGGAGGGTCCCCACGCCTCCTGGGCCGGTCACCTCTCGTCTCAGTGATGCCAGAATGGAGAATTTGACTCGCGCGCTGAGAGACCGTGCGTGGACAGGGACACTGTCCGTCCCCGTGGCCTTTTACACTGGCCAGACCCTAGTGCGTGCTCCTGACCCCTTCAGAGTGGGGTCTTAGATGTCCACCCACTCAGCTCTTTAAAGCCACAATGCCTTATTTTTGCTGCAGATTCTGCTAACACAGTGGTAAATGGCTAGAGGTTCTACGTGTTCAAGCTCTCCTCTATGCGACTCCTGCCTGTCTCTCCTGCCTCCTAAGCCTTCCGGCCGGGCTCTAGAAGCTTTCCTTGTCTTACAGAGTTAGTCTCCTCCCCCGCTTGCTGTGTACCATGCCATTCTGCTTGTCTGTCTGCTGATTGTCCACTTGCTTGCTTGCTTAATAATGCACCACCAAGTTGTCTTACCATCCTGACTTTTTTTTTTTTTTTTGCTGGTCCTGGGGCTTGAGCTCAGGCCTGCGCACTGTGTCTGAGCTTCTTTTGCTCAAGGCTAGCACTCTACCACTTGAGCCACAGCGCCATTTCTGGCTTTTTCTGTGTATGTCGTGCTGAGGAATTGAACCCAGGCCTTCATGTATGCTAGGCAAGCACGCTACCACTAAGCTACCTTCCCAGCCCCCTGATTTGATTTTTTTCCCCCATCTTAGCCACTTGGTGGATTTTCCTTCCATCTCCACCTGCCCAGCAAGTATTTAAAGGTCAATTCCTATGCTAATGTGCCTCTTGACCATTTTTTCTTTTTGCCAGTCCTTGGCCTTGAACTCAGGGCCTGGGCACTGTCCCTGAGCTTCTTTTTCCTCAAGGCTGGCCCTCTATCACTTGAGCCACAGCGCCACTTCTGGCTTTTTCTGTGTCTGTGGTGCTGAAGAATCGAACCCAGGGCTTCCTGCATGCTAGGCGAGCACTCTACCACTGAGCCACCTTCCCAGTCCACAAAATTGTTTTAAAGATTTTCTGATAACTGGCTCTGCAAGTCAAAGGGAAAAGACAGAAAATAAAAGAATGTAAAGAAAAGAAGGAAGGAAGGAGAAAGAAAAGAAAAAGAAGGAAACAGGCAGTTTCAAACTCAAGCCACAAAGAAGCTCATCTGAGCTTGGTGGTGAGACTAAGTGTGTCTTGGAGTCATGATTAGAGTCATGATTAGTAAATGTAAAGAGAAAGAAACAGGAAACAAAAATGGTTTATTTGGATAAGAAAGGATTTAGAAAGTAAACATTGTCTTCAATGTTTGTTCCAAAATGGAAAAAGAGAAGATATTAAGACATACCTCAGAAGGCTCGAGTAAGTAGCAGATGGTATGAATATGTCTTGGATTTATAGCTAGAGCTTATGAATAAAGTCAGTATAGCTAGTATGTAATTAAGCTGGCTGTGATTTAAATAAGGTCATGATTAATACACGGATGTAAAACCAGCATCTCAGTCTTTCTGTCCATCTATGAAAGTAACTGTACACTATTAAATTTATCAAGTTTTTAATATGTTTCCCAAGAATGTGAGCTGCCTTGGATACAGAGGCACTCAGTTAAAAATGGATGGTTTCAGCCGGGCGCTGGTGGCTCACACCTGTCATCCTGGCTACTCAGGAGACTGAGATCTGAGGATCATGGTTCAAAGCAGCCTGGGCAGGAAAGTCCACGAGACTCTTATCTCCAATTAATCACCAGAAAACCAGAAGTGATAGAGCACTCGCCTTGAGCTAAAGAGCTCAGGGTCAGTGCCCAGGCCAAGAGTTCAAGCCCCATGATCGCCAAAAATAAATAAAAATTAACGGTTTCAAGGAGTACCCTAAAATTAACTAGACAGACTAGGAATGTGGCGAGTGCTTGCCTAGCATGCATGAGTACCACATACACAGAAGAGGCTGGAAGTGGCCCTGTGGCTCAAGCTGGTAGAGCGCTAGCCTTGTGCAGAAGAGCTCAGGGACAGCACCCAGGCCGATGGGGAAAAAAAGCCACGTGGGACAAGCCATCCCAGCAAGGAGCACCTGGACCCCGGGACGGAGCTAGTCCTGGCGACCAGGGGTCCTGAAGAGCAGTCGGAGGGATGGTGCCGGATCCCAGAGGACCTCACTCGGTGCCTGGCCTTTCACGACTGCCCAGAGCCGGGAGACCCAAAGAAAAGAGCTGTCTGTCCGTCTTCTACCTGGACAGGAGTGTAACGTGAGCCTCAGGCTCAGGACACCCGGGCCAGGAAATGTCCAGGCCTCCCGCCTGGCCCTGAACCACTGCTTCCCTCCGTCTTCATCGAGGGGAGCGAACCTCCAGCCTCCATCCTCAGGCCTGGGCCTCCAGACTGGCTGGGATTCCAGGGGGGTCACCACGCAGTGGCTCCATTTCGGGGACAACAGCCAGACAGCTGTGAGTCCCTGGACCGTGGGCTGACCCCAACACCCGGCCCCGCCCACCCTGGCACTGACCCCGCCCTGCCCACCCTGGCACTGACCCCGCCCTGCCCACCCTGGCACTGACCCC